CCCTAACTCCACATACTGTCACATTGGAGGTTAGGGCATAACTATATGTTTGGGGTGGAGTGGGGACAGGGGAGACACAATTCAGTCCATAGCACTGACTGTTGGAACTTAAATTCTGAGAGACCGCTATCTTGGTTGTGCATCTACCTCTGTGGATACTCCTTTGTGGTTTCCGATCATCCTCAGTTTCACAATATCTAAACATTGGGAGATCCCAGAGTTTAGACCTTGAATCTCTTCTCATTCCCTAAGTGATTTCATGCTCACCCATGGCATTCAATACATTTTATCTGCTCTTGGTTCTCCAGAATTATATCTAAATTGCCCACGTGGCCTTTCCATTGCGATGTCTCATGCATATTGTAAAGGTCACATGCTGTGTGGTATCATTTTAAATCATGACAGCTGAACTCAAATATGCCCTTACTGCTCTTGATCATTATATTACACTTCTTTGATAATTCCTGCACTTTACTCTCTGGATGACTACTTCACATATTGTCTCCTCAAACCTCCATCACTTCTCCTATCCTTTCTCTTAGTCAATGCTCCTAACTCTCATTCCATTGAGAAATTAGAAGTTACAGAGAACTTTTGTTCACAATCTTGTGATACCACCACAATGCACCCAGCACTAGCTCTATCATTTACTCTGCCTTCTCTTCTGTTTCTATGGATGAATCATCCATGCTGCTTTCTAAAGCCAGTCACTTTTAATTAGTGTTTCATCACTGCTGTAATAAATTAACACAAACTTAGTTCATGGATCTGTAGGTGGACCTGGCTAGGTACTCTGCTTAGAGTCTCACAAGGCTGAAAACAAGGTATCAGCTGGGCTGTGTTCCTTTCTCAAGGCTCTGGGGGAAAATCCATTTCCAAATTCATTCACGTTGTTAGAAGAATGCGATTCCTTGCAGCTATAGGACTAAGGTGACTGTTTCCTTGCTGGCTATCAGTGGGATGGCCTTTAGATTCTAGAGGCCTCTCTCTGGTCCGTGCACATGGGCCCTACATCTCAGAGACAGTTGTGGTGTGCTGAATATTTCTGATACTTGGAATTTCTCTAACTTACTCTGCTGCATCAATCTTCTGCTTCCAGCCAGAGTGAGTTCTCTGCTTTTAATGGTTCATGTGAAAGCAACTATACTCCAATAAAAATGATTCATGTGATAAGATTGAGCACACCCAGATAATCCAGAACAGTCTCCTTCTCTTAAGATCCATAACCTCAATTGTATCTTCAAATTCCCTTTTGCCATGTAATACAATATATTCAACTGATTCCAGGGACTAGAGTGTGGACATCTTTGGAGGGCCATTCTGCCTATCCCACACTCCATTTGTGCTCCAACAATTTCCCCCTCTCTTCTCTTCAACATTGTTTCTCTCACCTGGATTTTTTCGAACAGCACACAAAATGCTGATATTTCTCCTATATTAACAATGCTTCCTTAACTTCACTTTCCCTTCCAATTACTGCCCCATTTCTCTGTTCTCTTTGGAGAAAACCACCTTGAAAGAATAGTTTTCTATCTCCAATTGTTCTTCCATTCTCTCTTGATCTTCCGCCCTTTCTAGCATATTGAACCTGATTTTGTCAAGCGCACAAATGATTTTACACATTTTAAATTCAAGGGTCAATTTTCACTCTTCATCTAACTTTCATTTTGCAAAACTCATCATTGAAAATTTCATTTGGCTTCCAAGACATTACCCTTTTAGGTTTTTTCTTAACTCTTGGAGACTCCTTCTCAGTCTCCTTTACTGGGTCTTCCTCATGTTCCTGACTACTTAGACTACCTGAGGCTTTTCTATCTGTACTCATTTCCTTGGTAATCATATCCAATCTCATGGCTTCAAATACCGTGAATATACAGCGACTTGCAAATTTATATCTGTAGTCTAAAACTGTCCCCTGAACTCTAAGCTTGTATATTCAACTACCTTTTCAATGTATTCATGTAGCTATCTTATAGGCAAAGGTAACATGTTCACTGTCAGACGCCTCATCTTCCCTACAAAGGCTGTTCTTCCCACTGTCTCTTGGTCAATGCCAGCTCCATTCTTCCATTTAATGGAACCCAACATTTTGGAAATGTTACTGGCTCCTCTCATTAATCTACCTCCCTTAATACCTAGTGTCCAAGCCATTTAAAAAACCCTACTGTTTCTAACACCAAGATATAATCAGAAGCCAAACCCTTCTAGCCACCTCCACCAAAGCCATCCTGGTCGACACCACCATGATGTCTGGCTTGTTTTATTGCAGTAAACCCTCCATCAGTTCCCCTTCCTCCAGTCTGACCTCCACACAGCTGCCACAGTGAGCCTGTTAAAATGCGAGTCAGATCACCTCCGTCCTCTGCTTAAAACCCTGCTTCTTTCAGAGTAAAAGCCAGAGTCTTTAGGATGACCAAGAAAGCCCTACATGATCTGCGCCCACTAGGCCTATTGCCATCTCCTGCTCACCTGCGACACCCGCCCCCCACTCAGAACACTTTCCCTACATCTTTCCTCATCAACTTCAAGTCTTGTTCAAATATCACCTTTGCAGTGAGACCTTCCCTAGATATTCAATTTAAAATTGCAAGCCCCCTTCTGACCAGTAACCCTTCCTTATCATAATTTTTTTCTCCACGATATTATCACTATTCAGTATCCTATTATAGTCTGTCTCCCCTCAGAAGAACCTAGGGAATCTAGTTTCATGAGGCCAAGAGCTTTTTGGTTAATTTGTTTGTATTTTTCACTGCTTTATCCCCAGCACTTAGAACAGTGCCTGATACGCAGTAGGCAATCAATAAATATTTGTCGCTGTTGAACGAAGGTCCAAAACCACTCTTTTTTTTTTTTTTTCCAGTACTCGGGCCTCTCACTGTTGTGGCCTCTCCCATTGCGGAGCACAGGCTCCGGACGCTCAGGCTCAGCGGCCACGGCTCACGGGCCCAGCCACTCCGCGGCATGTGGGATCTTCCCGGACCGGGGCACAAACCCGTGTCCCCTGCATCGGCAGGCGGACTCTCAACCACTGCGCCACCAGGGAAGCCCCCAAACCAGTCTTTAGTTCACCTCAAAACCAGATTCTTCCCCTAGTCTCCCCCATGTCAGTAAGTGGCAACTCTATTCCAATTTGCTCAAGCCAGGATCCTGGGAATTATCCTTGATGCCTCTCTTTCTCTCACACCCCACATCTTGAAATCCTGCCAATTCTATGTGCACATACAGGCAACACACACACACACACACACATACACACACACACACACACACACACACACACACATCCTCCAGAATCTGGCCCTCTTACCTTCACTGCTTTCACCCAAATTCAAGCCATTATTGCAAATGGCCTCATTACTGGTCTCCCTGCCTCTACCCTGGCTCCCCTAGAGCCATTTTCCACTCAGAAGAGAGAGGAAATCCCATAGAATTTATGTCAGATCCTAGGCTTTCCATAGCTCAAAGCACTCTGATAGGTTTTCCATCTTGGAATAAATTCTAGTCCTTTACATGGCCTGTAAGATACTTCCTGATCTTGTCCCAGACATATCTCCCTGAACTCATTTCTTCCCTTCGCTCATTGTCTTCCAGCCATTCTAGTTCCCCTTTTGTTTCTTGAATATGCCAAGCGTTCACCTGTCTCAGGCCTTTACACTGCTTCCCTACCTGGCATGCAGCACCACAGGTGACCTGCTTCTTCACTGCATTCAGCCCTCTGCTCCCAGTTGCTTTAAAGGTGTGCTTCCTTGATCATCATTCCTGAAACAGCACACACACACCTCCGTGCCCTTACTTTCCTTTATTTCAAAGCCCTTATGATCAACTGACATTATATATTTACTTCTTTTTATTGCCTGTCTTCCCTCTGCCCCAAAATGTAAACTCCTGTTTCATTCACTGCTGTATCTTCAACGTCAAAGAGGAACCCCAAGCACTATGGCTTGCTTAACCCTAGCATGTAGGATCGCAGGGAGGTATAAATACCTTCTTTCTCAAAGAATCAGCATTCATATTTGGAAAAGGACTCACCTTTCTCGAATGTTGGGCTTACCCCTAAAACATTTTCCGTGTCGAAAGCAACGGAAAAATTGGATCGATCAGTCTGGTTCACGTGCCCCTTATGGTTCTTTTGGAGGGGAGGGTCTTAGGGTGAAGGCTATGCAATCTCTAGATAGAGGAGGGAACGGTTCCGGAAGAAAAAAAAGAGGTTCTGTTAGCAGAATGGGGCAGGGGGAGAAGGGAGAGGATATGGAGAAGGCAGAAACAACAGATGGCCACCGCCGAGATTTTCCAGAGTGGGAAGAGAAATACAGGGATGAGCTGGGGGCCCTGGTAGGGGAAATAGCCCTGAACAATTGTACCTTCGCACACTTTGGGAGAGAACGTGCTGAAGCCCCAGGCATGCTTGTGTGGCCCTGCTTCTTGAATGACTCTCTGTGGGGAGTTGCAGGCGGGATCTCCCTGGCATGAATAATCCTGACGCTTCACCACAGAAGCTGTAGGAAAGAGAGGAAAGCAGGGACCAGCAGCATCAACATGATTTCTGTTTTTCACTGCACGTAATATTGTTCACCAGCTCGTTTGCGCAGGTCTCCCTCCACAGCTCTCAAGATTAACAACTCATTTTTAGGTAAGGGTAAAAGCGAATTAGTTCAAACACAAGCAACACCTGGGAAGTGGGCAAAAGTACATACACTCACATTGGAGAAAAATATAAATCTTTCTGCTATCTTTTAGCTCAGTGTTTCTTGTCTATTTTGTTTTTTTGGTACACCTCACCACAAGGTAGTTTCAATTGTTAAAATTTTTTCCTGAAAATAGAAAATGTCTCTTGGGTTCTCCCGAGAGCGGGGTGCCCAGGCACACACACATTCTTCCCATAGCACAGCACTTTAAAATTAATAGCACATGCAGAGGAAAACTAAACCCTTTGACGTCACTCTTGAAATGAGGAAACAGAAACAGAAAAGGCTCCACTCCAGTAAGCTGCCAGAGTTGAAGCCGATTGGTCTCCGCTTTTCCTTGCCTGTGGCAACTGACAGCACCTCCCAGCCTAGCAGGCCGGCTGCCTGCTCCCCCAGCCAGTCGGTGGGTCTGGGCACTGCAGCAGGCTCGGCTCCATCCCAGCACTTGCCTGGGAGAAAGAAACGTGTTATACTCACCCAGAGAGAATTTCTTTCTACCTTCGTTCCTCCTCGATCTCTCTGTGTGCTTTTGTGTTACTTTTTTTGTTTTTTGTATGTTGTTTTACTTAATTATATTCCTAATCCTGGATGAAGTTGCTGGATTCCGCAGCACAAGTCTTCATGAACAAGCAGCACCGCTCAGAGATTTCACGGCATTCAAAGGTCACAGAACTGCCACTATGGTTAAATGTCTTGTTTAATGGTTGAGGTAGGTACAAGAGATTTCAGCGGCAGCTCATTTTTCTTGAGAGAACAGAGTCACAGAGAGATGGCAGGAGTTTTATTTTAAATGAACCTGTATGTATATATTTTTTGGTCTGTGATTGTTACTACAGCAACCAGCTTTTGAATTTCCTTCCTTTTTCTAGGCGAACTGACTAAACATTATCACTTACCCTGAATTAACTGTTTCATTCCAAGCAGCCTAATGAGATACTCTGGCCTTTTCGCTGCACTTTGAGCCCCTCCTGAGGAGGGTTGCTTTTTTTCCTTTGGCTTCTTTTTTAATGAATGCAATATTTCTTCTCCAATGTAAATCTTAGAGTTGAGTCAATTTTTCTTTTTGGTGGGACAGGACAGGAAAATATTGGTAAAGAGATTAGTGAGGGTTGCAGAACAGAGAAAAAGAAAATCCTTTTTTCTCTTGAGTTTGTCATGTTGGTTGATAGAAGATGAAGAAATTAGTAGGAAGAGAGGAGGAAGCTAATAATGAGATTGAAGGTAGAAAAACCTATACGAGGTGTGTCAGAAAAATGAACTCTTGAGGAAAATGCACTTTATCATTTTGTTGCATTTTTTTAAAATGTTCTGGATTTAGAAGTCAACAGGGGAGATGCAGGCACTGAGTTGCATGACCAATGATTTAGATCTCATTATTTATAAAGGAGAATAAAACTTCTTTATTAGCACTGCAAATTTGCTAATTATCTTTTCCTACAATAGTTGAAAGCAGAGTGAGATATTTAATTAGGCACTTGAGTGATTGAGCCTGGGGACTAATTAATCTTCTATAGATTCTGTTCTTCATGTGTTCAGCCAGCATGACTATTAAAATGTTACAGTAAACCTCTTTGCCCCTGAAGGCAGGCATATGCATTTATATACAGTAAACCACTAAACGTTGCCAGGGTGGGAAGCAGGGCAATTAAACCCAGGGCTGATATTGTTTTCAGTGACACATTATGATTATGGGTTGAGGGGGACCCCTGCTAAAAATCATTCCTATCTAGAGTCAGTTATTGTAAGAGCAATTCAAGTAATATATGGTTCACATGGATTTCCTTATTACCCTTCTCAAAGTTATAAAATAGCAAGTAAGACAGGATTGTTTGAAACCATTACTGTTTCCAGAATTGCTTGATTTTTTTCCCCAAAGGTTTCTATTCTCAACGTTAAGAGAAATTTTTAAAACTGGGTCATGTTAGCAGTAAGATTAATAAGCAAGGTGTAAAACACATAGTGAATTTCAAAGAATTAATGAAATTAACTTCATAAGAGTGTAATGTACCAAGTTAAGAACTGCAAAAATATTAGGTCTGAAATGCAGAGGATGTGCTGTGAATGGACAATTGCTTTTCTGCAGCGCCTACTGGGAAAACAAGGACTTTGTGTGTTGCAAATGCCTAACTGCAGCTCCTCCATTTCCTCTGCTTTATCTTTTATTACTGGCTGGTGAAACAAAGAGGGGTGTCAGTAGTAACGTCTTGATTGACATTTTCTCTAATAAAATGAAGTCGCTTTTTGTCTGAAGTAGAAGCCCAGAGTTGACGAGGTGCAACTCCAAAGTCTGTATCCTCTTTATAAGGATTTTTACCTGACACTGTAAGCTGTCTGATTTCAGAGTGTACTCAGTTGAGCATGAGACAAAATCAGTGGTGACTATATGTCAGCCAATTAGCTGGGAGAAACTCTGTTTTGAATCAAGTGACTTAGGGCAAGGGTGGAAAAATCCAAGATGTGTCAGGAGCAGACACCAACTTTGGGAAATTAATTGCACCAGTACATCTTGTAATGCCTTTCACGATGTTCAGCACAAAGTTACTCATTGTCAGTTCTCAATAAATACCTAGTTAAAATGTTTGCTGAGAATTTACTACCCTTCATATATTGTAAATTATTTAAATAAATTTCAAATATGGCATTTTCAACTGTCTTTGAAAAAAGCTTTTGTGTTAGTCCAACCTAAAGTACAATCTATTTAGGAGGGCATTGCAACATTGACTGGTGTTCTTTTCAGGCAGAGAACCTTGTTACCCCAAACAGATGCAAAAGTAAAATGACCAAGTTTCCTCAAAGTGAGCATGTACCACATGGAAATGCCTCTGCCTAGTAATTAATCTTCCAAAGTTGAATTTGTTGTTAAGCAGGCTCAAATCACAGGGGAAGCTGCTTGTTGACTGACAACATAGTGCTGGAAGGAATTTATTAAGCAGTAAACTAATCCCAAGCAAGACTAAAAGGGCCTCATTATATTAAAATGAAGTGTCAAAATTAAGAATCAGAATAGACTTTAGAACATCTAAATGTAGAAGCTAACAGGTATTCTAAGTGGTTCAACTTACCTTGACTTTTGGGGGGTAACTTTTTGAAGGACCCTCAATGTTCAGAACTTTTTACCCAAAGACTCCATCATCCCATGGATTCAGCTTATATATCCCAGAGAATTCACAGACAAGTAGGAATCTCTCTTCTAGGAGGCAAGTCTAGCTAAAGAAGAAGAGATTTGGCATTTGGAAACGAGATGAGACCCTCTCTATCAGCGCCGCCCCGTAGTGGCATCCCCATTCCTCCTCAGAGCTTCCCCTTGGGCATCCTCACTTCTCCTAAGAATGTGTCTTGGGGAGCACGCCCATCCCTCTTGTGGGAGGAAGCCTTGGGGTGCTTTACAGGCATCAGGACCATTGGCTTTACAAGCATCCTAGGTGGCTTTGTCAACATGCTAACTTTGATTCCTGCGGTGATGCATACTTGGTATATTAGCAATCTTTAAAGTGGTCAATATGGAAATTTGGGGGATAGAAGGGAAAAAGGGATGTAGAAACCCAAACTGACAATATCTACTACGTTCCAGGCATTGTTAGAGATTTGAACAAAGAGTACAACAAAATGCGTCAAAGTTCTAGTGTATAATCAATGCAGTTATACTTTCCCAAGAATCGCTTAGGTATCTAGATGATTTAATTTGTACGTAGAAAGTGATTGCATGGAGCACACTAAAAAGAGCAGTAGATAGAGGCAGGGGACCAGTGGGCACCCTTATTCAGGATCTAACTAGTTGGATGACTCTGAGCCACTTGCTCACTCTTGATCTCAGTTTCATCACCTGTAAATGAAACTGGTTGTATTGGGTTATTTCTAACAATCCTTTTTTAGATGAAACTTTTTACAGTATTCTTATTTGGAGTTTTTTTAAAAAAATTCCATTTGTATATAAAAATGTGAGTGTTAAACCTTTATTAAAAAAAAATTACTGTGTGCTTTCAGCATGTCAAGGGCTATGTCTACAGAGGCAAAGTGAATAAAAAGACAGATAAGCAATGATTCCCACCTTCAGGAAACTTACATTCTGGTTGAACTTAAACAAATAGTGGAGCCTGGGCAGAGAAATGGAGGAACAGAGAGAATTTGGAAGGGAGGTGGTGATGAAGAAAAACAAAAGAGGTGGCTTTATGCAACTGAATTCAAGAAAAAAATCTAAATTTTCCATCTATATAAATATTTACGCCTATTATTGTAGTCTTTAATATGACCAATGGAAGCATTGTCATTCTTTTGAAATGATATATTTGTAATGGTGTCCTTAAAAAATATAATGTGAAAGGAAGCCAAAGTTTTCCCTTTTGTTGATTAAACTACTGTATAGGTTTGAAATGGTGAATTAAATCAGTGCACTGATATCTTCTCCATCATCACTTGGACTTGGAACCCCTAGGAGTTCCAGAAAGCAGGAGTCCTTCGAGAACTTTGACGACAGCCCCAGGTTCCAGTAGCCATTTGGTGCAAGCAAGGAGGGTTCCCAAGCTGTGATGGGCTTGACCACTGATGCCTTGTAGTGTCGCAGGAATGTTCTTGGTGGCAGGAAACCTCCCAAAGTGGCTCAGAACTTTCAGAGAAGACCTGTGTGAGTTAAGGCAAATTTCTTAAACTTTGGAGGCCCTGACTGCCTCCTCTTTAAAATGAGGCTTTTGGAATACTTCTGGGATGCCTTTTTCCTTTCCAGATTCTGAACTTTACCCTGACAAGATTAATGTTGACTAGTTAGCATTAATTTCTTTTTATTCTCCCACCTCTCCCATCCTTTATTTCTACCATTTCCCTTAAAAGTTTGCCTTTACTCAGTTATCCAAATTTATGCAATTTCACCTCCAAAATACCCTCATTGCTAAGGAAAAACAAAAACAAGTCCCTGGTTTTTGGAGAATTTCTCCGCAGGAGGACTATTGCTCCCCAGGGAAGACCACCTGTCCTCGCCCCCTTTCTCTCCTCTGAGGCTGATGTGCTGCTCTGTGGCTGTAGCTCCCCTTCAGACAGTAAAGGGATGTGCTTTGTGTTCACTGTAGCTGGAGACTTTAATGTGACAAGTGTCTTTTTCCTAAGTGCCAATCATTGTCCTAGATTTTCTGTGCTATCTCACTTTAATATCTCTTCCGCTCCAATTCTGGTTTCTTTAGGGAATAACTGAAAACTTGTTAATAACTAACTTGGAGGAATCCTCAGAAGAAAGATGTTTTTGGTTTGGTTGTCCATTGAGTATCTGCTCTGAGACCTGGGGCCTATGGTACAAGGTGGCTGCCTCATCCTGCTGGTGGAATTTGATGCAATTGAGTTACTCTAATCCAGACACTGGTTGGATCCTACTTGGGTCAGAGCATTCCTCTGGCATCTCCTCTGGGTATGGTTTACAGATAACGTCTCAAGCTTGGAGAATAGGGGACAGGGTTTGTAGTTTTGGATAAACCTAAAAATAACATGACACAAAACACACATAAGTCTATTAAGCAATATATAATTCTTAATATATTAGTGTATAAATACCCCAGTATTGAAAATCAAAACCCTTTCATGAATGCTTTATAAATTTATTTGCATACAGTATAGAAGTATGAAAATAATAGCCTTAGTCAATATACCAGTAAAGAAAGTTTATGTCATACATACCCCCTCCATTCTTCACGCTCCCTTCACCCTTCCTTTCTTCCTTCCTTCCTG